CTGGCCCAAAACGCTGCCAGCACGAAGCCGCGCAGCACGCGGCGAGAGGGCGTGGTTGCAGCTTCCAGTCCTGAGATCTGGAGGGAGAGGCAAGATGAAAGACGAAGATGCACGGAGTCGGCGCTCGTGATCAAGAACATCTGCCGACATGACTGAAACAGATGTCCTTCTAATAGCCTTCGCGTGTTTCCACGTGCGAAGCGCACAAAAACAAATACGTTCGCATGTGCGAGAATCGGTTCGCCTCTCATACAGAAGTGCTACGAGGCCTTCCAAGTATGCACCCAAGAGGCCAAAATCCTTCCAATACCTGAGGAAACATAAGTCTTGTGCCTTGGCGCCGTTTCGCAGATGATTGGCTCCTGAGGCCACAAGATGGCTACAAGAAGACGGAAAAGAGCTTCGAGTGGTGCCCAGGATGGCTCCAAGACAGCCCCAAGAATGCCCAAGAAGGGCCCAAGAGGCAAGCGGTCGTGCGTCCTCCGAGACGGTCACCAAAGAGCCCACCCATGGTTCTCGAGAGGGCTCCGATAAGTGCCAATGTTGTCACAAGAGGCCCCAGAGAGGACTCCAAGAGCGATCGAGGAGACCTCCAACAGGCTCCCATATATGCATCCAAGAGGACTCTATGGCTCATTCCTGTTGTCGTCGTCATCGCGATCTTTGTCCTCCTCCTCCTCCTCCTCCTCCTCCTCCTCCTCCTTCTGCTACTCCCACCTCCTCCTCCCACTCCTCAACCGCACAATGATCCTCCTCCGCCCGCCTCCTCCTCTTCCCACCTCCTCCTCCTCCTCCTCCTCCTCCTCCTCCTCCTCCTCCTCCCCCTCTTCCTGATTATTATTATTCTTCTCTTCGCTCCCTCCTCCGCCTCTTCCATTTCGCCATCGCATCTGAGGCTCACCGGATCTTGAGTGGGAACGAGTTCCTTCGAAGTCCTCTCCCTTCTGCTCGCCATCCTCCCTGATTAACCTCCCCCCTTCCTGTTCCGTTTTTACCCCTACATGTTCGATGGAGCCGCAAAGCCACTCGCCCATGGATCTTCGCAGATGCATAGATCCCGAGTTCCAGTGTTAAGCCTGCCATCTCTCTCTCTCTCTCTCTCTCCATGTCCCTGTTGCTCTCTCTCTCTCTCTCTCTCTCTCTCTCGATATATATATATATATATATATATATACATATATATATATACATATACATATATGTGTGTATATATATACACACACACACCTCGTTCGACAGTGGAGCAAAGACATATATGGTCCAGGGCTTGGGCCCCCCCCAATGCTGATGCCATTGGGCCCCCCCCCCGCGCGATGGTCCCCCCCGCCAGTGATGTGGTGGGTGCTGTGGTGGTTCAGAGGTGGGCGTGGCGTGGTGCTGCGCTGCGGTGCCCACCCCCCCCCTGTGGATGTGGTGTGGTGCTGTGGTGGTTCAGAGGTCGTCGTCGTCGTCGTCGTCCTCGTCGTCCTCGTCGTCCTCCTCGTCGTCGTCCTCCTCGTCGTCGTCGTCGTCGTCGTCGTCAACGTCGTCGTCGCCGTCGTCATCGTCGTCATCGTCGTCGTCGCCGTCGTCATCGTCGTCATCGTCGTCGCCGCCGCCGCCGGCGTCGTCGCCGCCGCAGCCGTCGTCGTCGTCGTGGCCATCGTCGTCGCCGTCGTCGTCGTCGTCGTCGTCGCCGTCATAGTCGTCGTCGTCGTCGTCGTCGTCGTCGTCGTCGTCCTCGTCCTCGTCCTCGTCCTCGTCCTCGTCCTCGTCCTCGTCGTCGTCGTCGTCGTCGTCTCTGGGATCATACCATCTGGGGGTGGGGGCCCGAGGAATCCTGGGACCATACCATCTGGGGGGGGGGGGGCCGTGGGACCGGAGCCCGGGATCATATATGGTTCCCTCGTGGGTCTGCCCTGGCCGCGTAAAGACTCTGATCCGACAGCGTTCCCCTCTCTCTGTTCCATTGAAGGCTCTAACACTTCCCTGCTTTGGGAAACTCGCCAAGCGATCGTCTCTTGATCGTCTCCTGATGGGCTGGTAGAGATACGCGAAAAATGTGTTCGCATGTGCGGACATCGGTTCACGAGGCCTCACGTAGAGATCACACGGGGAAATGTTATCGGACCTTCCCAACCAGGCAATGCGATTGGTGCAATTGGTGCTTCGTGTCCGTGGGGGAGGGGGACCCGTGCCGCGAAACTCGGATTGGACAGGTGTAGTTCAAGAAGGCGGGGCATATTATGTCAAGAGACCAGCGAGGCGATATCTGGGACAAGGGCATGAAACTAGCGATTGACCAAGCCAAGGGAGCAATACCCGCTGGGGCAACACTCCTCAACGAGCAAAATCGCAACAACTGAAGACGGCCTTTCGGGGATTTGCGAAGCAGGGACCGCTGACAACATGCGGCGCCCGTTGGCCAATGTTCGTCAGGTGGTCCCAAAAAATGTGAATTTCCAGTTTGGCTGGGCTCAACAAGCGAATCCACGTGCGTAGCTCAACTCGAACAAGAGTTGAGCATGCGCAGAAGGCCGCGTGCGTGAGCTGCACACAAACCATCTCTGCTGCCAGTCTCGGGCACTCGCTGGCACACTCCAGCAGAGACACGGGGGCGAAGCGCACACGTCTGCAGAGAGTGTACCGGAGCCTTGGCAGCACACCGAGGTGCATAAATGATAATCATACCTGACTACCCATCGGTCGGAAGAAGCAGGTAGGAACATGAAGCAGGAAGGCGTTGAAAGTAGATTGGGCTTTCGCGCACCCATAGAAGAGGACGGCAAAGGTAAAGCCACTCGAGCACTAAAGTAGGAAGGCAATCTTAAAAGTACATAGCTTCAACGACCGATGGGGCTTGTTCGCGCGCACGAGGCTGGCGCAAGGGAGCCCCGAAAGGAACCAGCGGGCCCGTGGCTGCTCAAGGATCGCCTGGCCTTTCGAGCCTGGCCTCAAGAGCCCCACGAAGACCCAAGAGCCTGGCAGGAGCTCCTCCTCCTCCTCCTCCTCCTCCACAAGGACAGGCGCGGGCTCCAAGGAGATGTCCAAGACGGCCCCACGGGATCCTGGGGTGGTGTCCCTCCCGTGTCCCTCCGTCCCTCCATTGAGCCTCCGTTTCTCGTGCGGGCCAGGTCGCTTCCGGCGCACATCGGGTGACCAGCGTAGCTGACAGAAGCTCACTCCAAGCGTGCTTGCACGCTGGCGGCGCACATCACGTTGCCAGTGCTGCTGCCAAGAAGCTTGCCAGGAGGCTCACTCCAAGCGTGTCCGCTCGCTCCGGCAGCCGTGGCGTTGCCAGCGCAACTGCCAGGAAGCAAGCCAGGAAGCGCACCCCGAGCGTGCCCGTTCGGGCCGCAAACGTGTACCCGTTCGACGCAAGCAAGTCGCAGTGCGAGTCCTCGTCGCCGTCGTCCTCCTCCTGCTCGCCCTCCTCGTCGGCCTGCTGATCCTTCCTCTTCTCCTCTTCCCCTGTCTTGGCTCCCAGGACGGATACAGCGGACGGCCGCCGACGATGGCCAGGACTCTTCTTAAGTCGTGCTCGGATCCCGAGCCTTCCAGGCTCAACCTGGGCCTCGGAGCCCCAGGGCGCCCAGGAGCGCCTTTGACATGTTCCAACGGCCCTGGAGGAGGCGTGCAACGCCCGCAGACCCAGGCGAATCTCTCGCCCCTGCACCAGGACGGCTTCGACGGGGCCACGGGGCAGACAGAGACCGTACCTCCCCTCCTCCTCCTCCTCCTCCTCCTCCTCCTCCTCCTCCTCCTCCTCCTCCTCCTCCTTCTCCTCTTCCTCCTCTTCCTCCCCTTTGCATGCACCCGTCGGCAAGACTGGACACCACGGTTTCGTTGTCACCACGGCTGCCAAAACGACGAAGGTGGGTAGGGAAGAGGAGGATCGGGAAAAGGTGGTAAGACTTTGTATGAAGAGGGTAGGTGTTGATGTGTCGGACATTGTGCCCTGGAGATGTGCAGCACGAGCCCCGCTGAGAACAGAGAAAGCTCCAGGGGGGCATGCGCTACCCAAGAAGATCTAACCTGTTGCGACCAACACTGGAGCGGCGCTGCTCTTATAAAGCGTCAGATGGCCTGCAAATCGACGAAGAAGCAAGGGTGGATCACGCGCAGTGTACTTCTGACAGCATCCTGAGATCTGGAAGGGAACTTCTCAACATCGACCCTCCGTGCATGCTAGAAAAACACACAGCAATGCACAGACCCGTCCCTTCCTGGAGCGGGCGCGACATCCAATCTGGAGCTGGGTCCGTTATCTGGCACCTGCTGCGTCGGCCGCATGAAGCGTGACCGCGCCATCGCCCCAAGCGCCCACGGGCAAAAGCGCCCGTGCACGTGGCTTGAACAAATACCACAAAGGTATCGAAGCGGTGCGTGCGGACATGGGCCCTTGAAAGGAAGCGTATCAAGGTTGGTTGAAAAAAAACGCCCAAAAAAACATAATGTTCTCAAAGAAAGCACTATCCCGTCACCCTGTCACTGACAATCCATCCTATCACGCGCCCGAACCCACTGCTAACACAACCAACCAAGTCTGCATCAAGAGTGGTATTCCAAAACGATGCACGTGCCCGTCTGCGGGCCATTCATGCGGGCCCTACTAACTGCGCAGGGCCCACCTGCCAAGTTCTAACATTTGTCCATGCTTGCGGGACCTTGTGCATGATAACTGTTTCGGTCGTTCCCCCCCCCCCCTTGTATTCCCCCCTGAGAGCCCCCAAACCTGCCTTACAGTTTGTAAATGGGGGTCACGGGGCTCAGCGCACCAAACCCTCACACTAAGCGAGGTCACAGGGATGCCGAGAGGGCAGAAACGCACATGTCAAAGGCAGATCGGCCATGTAAGTGAACATCGCCGTGCACACACCCACACACACACACACACTTTGCTTGGCTTCGCGGCCCCGCGCGCAGCGACAAGGCTGCGAAAGGGAACAAAACGCGAGCGCGCGCCTCAAAACATCTACACACACACACATTCACGCGCGCAACCGACACACGAACACACACACACACACACACACAAACGCGCACACACACACACACACACACACACACACACGCACACACATTTGTTGCGTCGGCGGCTGGGAAGAGGGTGACTGCTCCGGCGAACAGGCCACACTGCACGCAAATTCAAGCCGCGATGCACGAGGGAGGAGGGGGAGCTCCAGCGCGACAGGGAGAGAGGAAGCCGGGCCCGCTCAGGCGAGCCACGGGCCCACACACACACACACTTTTACGTCGGCGGCTGGGCAAAGGTCGACTGCTCCGGCGGAAAGTCAACAGGGGACACGCTGCATGCAAATCAAGGCCACGATGCACGGGAGGAGGAGACACACACACACACACGCTCTTCAAGCGGCAAGGCAGACCGTGAGCGCATAACCCAAGCGTTCGTAGTACCAACTCGTAGCGAACACCTCCCCACTGCCTGTGCTTAACGGTAATGCTGGAATCGCGAAAATTCCATGCCGTCGCGTTCGCCGCCACGGCGGCCCGCGGCATTCTGACCCCCATCGTTAGGTTCCCCCCTCTCCCCGTCCACTCTTACCTTTTGCCTTCCGCCCCCGCATTCCTCTATCGCCTCCCTCTCCCTCCTTCCCTGTTTTTTTTAAACGATGTCGAGGTTACCCTCCGAAGCGGTCTCTGCCCCGCGCCCATCTGCCCCCCCCTTTCCCGTATCACCGAATACGTCCGACACGCCGCGAGCTTCTATCACATGCGCCAAAGCTTGAACGCCCAAGCACGCCCAAGAGACCCGGCCCCGTAAACCGGGCAACGCTGCACTGATCTGCAGGGGCTACAACCCAAGCTCCCTGGGGTCACCCGCTCCTGCGGCCTGACGGTCTCCCGCCGACGCAGGCGCCACAGGAGTTGCGCGACACCAAAACATCACGGCAACTGCGCGGCACATTTTACATGACGTAGTTTCACTGGCACAACGCCCGCCACAAGGGCTGGCCCGCTCGACGAATGACCCGCCCACACGTGAAACCTGGGCCGGCAGCTCAACGCAAAGTCGTGCCCGCCCGACTCAATCCGCGCCCGATCCACCCGACCGCCCGACATCTGGCCCAACCGACCGGACCGGTATGAGACTGGAACGCTGAACGACTAAAACTGTTTTTCATGCAGATACCTTGCAGAAACCTGACGCAAAGAATCCGCAGATTCGCTGACAGGAAGCACCGACAGCTCCCGATCATGCAACTGCAAGCCCTTGCAGCGGCGCCCCCAGCTCACGCGCCGAACACATCCACCGCGCCACGAGCGAAATGGGAAGGACGCGATCCCCAGAAGTCCCAACACGCACCACGACTCCTGGAAAGTCGTAGACGCACCCCTCCAACCCACCAGCTGCAGTGTCCAGAGGGGGCGCGAACGCTGCCTGACGAACCACTGGGCACAACCATCGTGATCTCACACGAGTTTCGCTACAGCGAGCACCACTGGAGGCGACTAAGATGCGCCCTTCCATACCCCCCCACGACACGCCCCCATTATGGCCCTCCCCCTTCTGCATCATTAAAAAGCGCGCGTTCCAGGGACAGTACTTGGTGGACCGACCAAACACATGCCGCTAGCACCAACGTCGCAAATCTACAAAGGCCTAGTGCCCGAGCACCAACTCAAGATGCACCGCCATGGCTGACCCAAGATCCCCAGAATCCCACCAGCCCTCTGGGCAAAATTTTGCGGAAGGGGGGATCGCGGAGTGCCAGGGCGCCCCAGATGGCCCGCGACGGCTCCAAGAGGGAACCCCACGTTCCAAAATGGCCTGCAAGATGGCCCAAGACAACCGACGATGTTTCAAGATAACATCCGACATGCCCCCTCTTAGCTGTCTACATGCTCGCCAGCCGCCTGCACCACCCCAGTGGTGCTGCAGGCCTGACGCATCCCGACAAACGGGACGGTGAAACAAAGAAATGTGTGCATACATATATATATATATATATATATAGAGAGAGAGAGCTATAAGAAAAGAAGGGCTATAGGGCTATAGGGCTATAGGCACTAGAGCTATAGGGCTATAGGGCTATAGGGTTATAGGACTGTAAGGCTACTAGGCTATAAGGCTGCAGGACCATAGGGCTATAGGCCTATAGGGCTACAGGCCTATAGGGCTATGAGGGCTATAAGGCTATAGGGTTTTAGGGCTATAGTGCTGTAGGGATAGAAAGCGATAAAATAGAGCTACTGGGCACCCGGGCACCCCGGCACCCCCGGGCCTGTGGGCACCCCCCGGCATCTGGGCACCTGGGCACCTGGGCCAGCCACAGAAATCGGCGACGAACCTCATCTAGCCATGTGAATCCGCTAGGACCCCTATAGAAGCAAGCTCTGTTTGGGGGATGCACCTCCACCGACATCGGCGACGAACCTCACCTACCGATATGAATCCGCTACGACCCCTACAGAGGCAAGCTCTGATTGGGGATCAAGCAAATAAGTCGACAAATAAACAAACAAAATAATAATTAGACGACTAATACTAAAAAATAGTGATAATAATAATAATAATAATAGAAAAGGATGAAAAATGAAAAGAATCATAATAAAAATTACCAACCGTCCTGTGGTGTTGGGTCCTCCCTTTGAAGACACGGTCCCCGCGTTCCCCCCTCCTTCCTCCATCCCCCTCTCCCCCCCCTCCCTCCTCCCCCTCCTCCCTGCGTTTCACCAACCCAGTACAGCGCTTCGTGGCCCCATAGAGAGCTCCACCGAAGCTCCCAGTGGGACCGTGTGCATGCGTCCCAGAAACCCAACTTGGCACACCCAATCGCACGCTTCGTGGCCCCATAGGGAGCTCCACCGAAGGCCCCAGTGCCACCGTCCGAATGCGTCCCAAAAACACTGTTTGGCAGTTTCACCCACCCAGTACAGCGTTTCGTGGCCCCATAAGGAGTTCCACCGAAGCCCCCAGTGGGACCATCCGCATGCGTCCCGAAACACCCAATTTGGCATGTTCTGGCGGGGCGAAGCATTCCAGGGAGGGGTCTAGGGGAGGGGCGAAGGCGGGGACGTTCCGGCGTTGACGGCCGCCGGGGGTCCGTTGCCCCTGTATTTTATCGAGTGAAGCGGCTCCCAGGCGCCTTCCACGGCGCGCTTCCTCATATTTGCTTCAAATGAAGCTGCTCAAGGGCCCCAAGACGGCTCAAGAGGGCACCAAAACGATTCAAAGACGGCCCCCAGAGAGCTTCGGATGGCCTCCAGACGGTCCAAGAGAGCCTCGAGACGGCTCCAGAGACCCTCCAGAGGGACTTCGAGAAGGCCTCAGGAGCCCAGAACGATGGATTACCGTATTGTTTTGAAGGTTCATGTCGGGCCCAGGAATCCCACACACCCAGTCTGGCATTTTCACCCACACAGCGCAGCGCTTCGTGGCCCCAAAGGAAGCCCCACCGAAGCCCCAGTGGGACCGCCCGCATGCGTCCCATACACCCAATTTGGCATTTTCACCTACTCATCACAGCGCTTCGTGGCCCAATAGGGAGCTCCACCGGAGGCATGCACCCCACACACCCAATGTGGCATTTTCACCCAGATCACAGTTCCAATGACTTCTTGGAAGTCCGGCCGCGCGCCGCGCTTTCCGAGCCCAGCGGGGTCCAGGTGTCATTCTATTGCCGACGAGATGTTGGATAGGAGGGAGGCGAGCGGGAAGCTGCGCGGCAGTCTTAGGAATGGGATGTCCGACGATCTTACAGTGCTGAACCCTACTTTTTTTGGCTCCCAATATCTTGGTGGCTTCTACGTACTGTGCCAGAGCTTAAATTTTCAAGGGCACGTGCTGGGCGCGGGCGCCCGCCCACGCGCCCGGGTCGTCATCGAGGAGAAACTCGGAAAACTACGGGGTCTTGGGCCGCGAGAGGAAAGAGCCGCATTGAGGAAGAAGAGGAATTCGCATCGTCGTTCCTACAGACGGGATACTCAGGAATCGGAGTCGCCGCGATCTCGGGCCAGGGTGAAGCTTAAGCTCTCCGATCTCGAGGTCGATCGGGGCCGGTCTGATGATCGTCTCGCTTGGCACCAGGAGCTCGAGAAGTTTTGCAAGAAAAAGTTCTCTTCGGTGAGCAGACGGGTCGAGAATGGAAAATCCTGATGTCGACGAGGGAGGGGGCGGAGGAGGAGATCCATTCGGGCGCGATGCTTTTTGCTATCAGCATGGGTGTTTTTTGCGCGGCCAAGGCCAAGCTGCGCAGTCGCCGTGCCACTGGTTCAGATTGATCGTTCTAATGGTGTCTCAAAGTGTTGTCCTGGTCGGGCCTCAATGTGATTAGGGGGTACTTTGGACCTCATCTGCGCCTTGCGACGCAGTGCCCTGTCAGTTGGCGCGAGGCGCTCATTTTTTACATGCCAGAAGCAAAAAGTATCACGCATTTGAAGGAGGGGGGGTTCCTGGTGATGCAGGCTTCACTCAGTCGCTGGCTCTCGTCTTGCATCGTTCTGCTCGTCGAAAAAAATCGGGGAGACTGGGCTCCTCAGGCGTCTCGGGATCGACGGCTGCAGGGAACGCCATTCCGCGCACCTGATCACCTCGTCCCCCACATGCATATCACAACACAAAGTGCGCGGGGCAAGGGGGGGCACGTGTCACGTTGCCAACGTCGGTCGACGTTCTGCAAGCCTTCGATGACACCAAGGTGGCTAACGTTTATCAGTGGCTACGGCATGCCGAATGTCCGTCTTACCTCATGCATGCGCGTCTTGATCCTCTGATATATTACCAGGGCAAGGTTTCCTATAAAGGTATGGAGGTGGAAGATGCGGGCTGGGAGCGTTGCATACGTGCGAGAACCACTGAGGGGCAATTTGCTTTCGTGTCTATTTGCGCCGCAGCGTGGGCGGATATTTCCTCGGTCTGGGACAGGGAGCAGGTCGATTATCCCGCGCAGTTCCGCTCTGGGGAGTTCTCCAAGGACAGTTGGATTAGCCTCCTTATCTGGGTGGACATTGTGTTCCTGGTTGCCAAGTGCCGTTGAGGGTTCACCAGGATGTTTTGTGACATATCTTATACACTCTCTTCGTTCTCGTTTGCTTGGAAAACTTCTAGCATACAGTACATGGTTCGTACATATTATGTTCGGATTCTGGCGAACGGGACGGTGGCTCCTGGTCAAGATCTCGCCCTGTCCTCCGTAAAGCCACGGAGATTCAGGCCTTGGGCGTGGTGGTCATACATGACCACAACCATCGCATTCACCGCGACTTGGAGTATCGTCTATCTTGTGCTCGGAAGGCCTGTTCAGCCAGGCATCGTACTTTCGTTCTCAAGGTGTGGAGCTTCGTCGCAAGTTCGTTGTATGTCGAGCGGGTGCTGAGCCTGGCCTTATGCTGCTGCGAAGGCATGACCGTCGACTCTCGGACTCTCGGCGTTGCAAGCGTTCGGAAACAAATGTCTGGCCGCGGTGTTCAGGTCCATCGTTTCCACCTTTTCGTTTACCATTCTCTGGTCAAGATTCCTTTGCGCGCGATGATTTTTCCAAAGACGCATGTAGCTTCCTGGGTATTCTGATGGGGGACACAAGTGACAACGTCGATAACATCTTGGGAATTTGGAGTGAACACCATATCATGTGTTGTGATTCGTTTGGGCCCTACTTGAACGCGGGGAGGACGGAGGTGCAGGAGACACATGGGGAGGAGGTGAGAATGTGGATCAACGCAGCTGGCAAGATTCTCTTGTTGAGTTCTACGGACCACGGCGGTGGCTTTCGTTCGAGGGGAGTTTGTGGGCGGAACATGTTTGCAAGCCGTCAATGTCGTTCAATTTCCAGCAATACAGCACGTTCGGGAACAAGAATTGCCCACTCTTTCTGAAAATGAGTTCGGAGATCCAGGGGGGCACTTGTATTTCACCTGCTGGTTTGGGGCATCTGGCGAAACGTTTTGCCATCCATGACATGAGGAAGACAATGTGAGATTCGGCGACCCCTGGTTTCGGTCTTCAGATTCTAGGCGACTCCGCGATTGTGACGAGCTAGCTTTCAGGTCGCGCCCGCGCTTTGAGTCGCGGGTACATTGAGAGGGTGTACAGTCTCACTAATTAGCTTGTTTATCTTCGTTATGTGTCTTCTGTAAGGCCTCCTTGTAGAGGCACCGACATCACTGGGAGCCGGCGGTAGACCGTCAACCTTGATTTTTGAGTTTGAGTCAGGGCGCAGACAGCTGTGACAGCTGAGCCCTAAAACTCCCAAACGGAGCACAGGGTAGCTAGAGAAGGCATCTCTTATCATCACACTGCCGAGCCACTGAGGCATAGGCATCGGAATAGGATGCAGGAACAAGGAAAAGGATGCAGCACGACATGTGAAATTGCAAAGGTGTAGGAACAGGTTAGAGATGAAAGAGGCTACCCAAATCGTGCACCACGGCCATACAGAGCCGTTGCGCTGCAAACATCACACAGAACACGACAGAAGCAGAGGCATCAAGCGAGAAAGCTTCCTCCGCCACGAACAGCCACGTCCCGTGTACACACAAACCTAAACACCATCCTGCAGCACATCCCTCCACAGAGCGACCTCCGTAGAAGAATCCACGGAGGCCGTCTAGTTTTGTTTCACTCGCATGTTCAATAAGGGAAGTATGGAATACAACGTAACAATTTCTGGTTCTGGCCAACCATGTCAGCCTATGTGCAATCACTAAATCAATCGATCAATTGGGTATCCCGCCTTGGCCGCCAACTCGCGGTAGTTCTTTACATTGCGACGCATCCATTCATCCTGAAAATTCGTCACGTATCTCATGGCTTCCGTAACGCTTTTGGGAACGAGTCTGTGGTGACTAAAGTCTCTGATATCCGTCGACAGATGGGTCAAATTGGCTATCGGGCCAAGTCTCGCGCGATCCCGAAGAAGCGCTTCAAGCAACACAGCCTTTTCCTCGGCACCCGAGGCTATAAGGCGATACAGCGTGGCAGCCGTGAAAGAGTGAACGAGTTTTACTCAGCCAGACTTGCGGAAGCAGTATTTCCTGATCCTTGAATTACACGCCAACTGAAGCAAATAATCTGCGCGGTTACGTTTTTCCTCGTCCTCCGTCACTGCTGAACTCACAACTGCATCAGATAAACTCCCAGTCGTGGAACTCCCAGGGTGTGAAGCCATAGAATCTTTATGATGAGGAGGCCAAAAGGTTACACGAAGGTTCCTAATGTGGCTCTGCAAGCGTTGTTCCATCAACCGTTGAGCACCACTTGACTAGAATGTCAAGCACCGCCAATGTCCGAAGCACCACCCCGCAATACGGTGCATCCTTATCTTGTCCAACCGACACTGCTCCCAGAGTCTCTGGATGTCCGCGTCCTCCTCCCCATCACGGTGGTAAGCCTCACACAGACGGTGCAGAGTAGCCTGTTTCAAATAGACATTTGCCCTCTCTCGCAGGGTGGCCATTTTATCCCATGCGTGGAAGACCGCATCCCAATCAGCGTCCTCCTTCTGCAGGTGGTCCGCCACGAGCAGGCGCGTGATGTGCCTCTGGAGCACCCATGTGGTAGCCGTGCCGGCGCACTCTACGTGATTTGAAGAACTGCACAAGTCCGCAAAAGAGGACGGAGGTTGGGGAGGATCGCAAGTAGATGGATGGGTCGACTTTGACATAGAAGAGCCAGTTAGAACTGCCTGAGCCTTCGCCCTTGCCCGCCTCCTGTTTCTGCGGTGCCTCTGGCCTTTCCCACGGCCAGCATCCCCCTCTGGACTCGGCGCCTCCTCGGGACTCTCAATTCCCATTCGAAGTTTGCATGCCTTGAGCGCCTCTATCCGAGCATGAAACTCATCTTTGGGGAGCCGTTCGAATTCCCGCCAAAGAGCATCTGCATCGCCATTGGCACGGGCCCAGTCCCTGGCAGCTTGACACTCAGATCGATTGCTCTGCAACTCATCTGAACAGAGCCGGGAAGAAGAAGCACAGTTATCTTTACGCTGGTCGACTTCGCACTCTCCGTGGGTTTTCGAGGAAGCCAACGGCAGCGCCTCGGGGCCTCCACCTTCCCTTTGCACTCGTAGAGCTTCCTTTCCATGGCAAGCTGAGTCTCCGTCAGAAGCTGAAGTGTGGCAAACTTCAGGGCGTGAGGCCGCATAATATGTATGATGAGAATAATGCAACTGCTCATTCAGCAACTCCTCATTCTGCAACCCCACATCCTGCAACTCCTCATCATGCAACTCCTCTTTCCGAACACCTGGGTCAACAGAAGCCGACAGAGTGTCAGGAAATGGAGTGTGGCAAACTTCAGAGCTTGAGTCCAAGAAAACAGTATGCTGTGAATAATGCAACTTCTCATTCAGCACCTCCTCACTCTGCAAATCCTCATCCTGCAACTCCTCGTCCTGCAACTCCTCATTCTGAACACCAGGATCAAAAGAAACAGAGCCCAGTCTCGACTGCAGCCCACCATCAGGAGACTGCACCACATCTGGAGAATACGCAACCGAATGAGACGAGAAAGCTTCTCCACGATCAGTTGGCCCAGCAGTTGGCACCGATAAGGAACTCAACAATATACTGACCTTCTCCTCCGAGTTCCCCTGAAACGGGCATGGGTTTCGCGCACAATCATCGAGGTTATCAAACCAGCCAAACGCGGGGAAAGTATTCGGATCAGCCACAAAATACGGATCACGAGCATTAAACTGCACAACATCAAATACAGCTTCTCTACAAATCACCAGTTTGATTATCCTTGTTTTTCTTCTCCAACTGGTCGAAACAGAACTCATCGAACAAAATTGCGCTGTCATGATGCCGCACAAGGAAGGGGCACGCAAGAACAACTAATCAATCCAATGCCGACAGATCACCCGTTCGGCACACAGAGATGCACGTTACGTGTGCATGCACAACCTGTCCGCACGACGCGGCTCGAGGGGTCCCCGACGGGCCAAGGCCGCGGGAGAGCGGAAGGTAAGCTCCGCTTCCGCAACCTTGGTTTTTGCGCATTGCGTGCCGCCACAGCAGGGTCGGGTCACCGCCCAGGCGATAGCCACACAAGGAGGCCTAGTATCCTGCCAAACGCAGGCACTCCTCCACTCCCAAAAGGAGTTGTCGGGCAGACTCTAACTCTGCTGCAGTGATAGTGCTCGAGGGGGGAAGGAGGAAAGAGGATGAAGCCACGTTGGGCTCCCACACGCCACTCGGGAGAGTGACAGGATAGTCAGCAACAGAAGAGGAGCACAAATGGAAATCAATCTGCCAGCCACAGCCTACGCCCAGATAGGATCTTCCACCATCGAAGCTTCCCCGAATAGCGTCGATCAGAATAGCGTTAGCTTTAACATGGGATAGGAAATCATGCCTAAAATGTGTTCTACAAATTCCCTGTCGAGCTCTGTGTGTTAGCTCATCCGCAGCAGTATTGTCCTCCCTGTACACCCACTTGAAGATATGTCTCCCAAGAGGGGCCGCCTGCACACCACATCTCTTAGCTAGAGTGTCTAAAGTATTATGAATACCGCCCACAATCTTGTCATAATGCACATTAGCAGAAAAATACAATCCTTGGATCCACCGCACAAAACATTGAGAGTCTCCCTTCAGTTCAACGGCAAGCCTCCCCGCCTGGAACTCCCACTCCGTGTAATCCTCCAATATCTTGGCATACCGTTTGGACAACACCTCCTCCTTCTTCCTGCTGGGCTCCTCCGAAAGTACCTCCTCATCCCTCTCCTCCATAGGCTTCCAAGGAATAGGATCTTTAAGAACCAGGAAATCAGAAACACCAGGAACCTGGAGAAGCGTAAAAACTTCGCGAGCAAACTTGACCCAGGCCTCCTCCGTCCATTCCAGTACATGGTACCAGTTTTCCCCTCCCACGAGCTCAAAAGGTGTTCTCCACGGGCGCATGCCGATAGGAACTCGGCCAGTCCTCGCACGAGTCCCAGCACGTCCAGCCTGGCTTCCTAGAGATAATACCAGATCATCCCGCCTGGATTCCCACTCCCCTCCACCGTGCAACATGGACAGTCGTGCCTGCAGGTAGCCATTGACAGCAGTGCCAGTGTCCACCACCGTAGGCTGATTGTAATAACGGGTTGGGTCCTCGAACCTGTCTCTGAGCCTCGCCGTATTCTGTGAAAGTTGGGCCCTCTGACGCTTGGCCTCATTCATGCACATCGTCTTTCTTTTCCGTCGGTTCATGGGCTCGGAGGGCGTCGTATTATCAGCAGAAGCACCAGGAGCATACAAAGGAGACGGCACCAACTGTGAGCCACACACCACAGATACCTCCTCCACGCCACCACCGTCTCTGCCAAAACAAGACAATGCAATATCTTTCGCCCATCTCCACTGCCGATACAAGAAGACTTGTGCGAGTGGAGGTCTGCCAGCTTCACATAAAGTTTGCCTCCCTCTTCTGTACATGCGCGACATGAATACAGCCCACCCCTCCCCCTCCCTCTCTGCTCTCCACGTCATCCTGCTCAACATCTTCCCCTCCTCCTTATGTATAAAAGCAATCGTAGAACTGTCAACCGTGGCTCCTTCCAAGCCGAAAAGAAACTTAGATCTCACTCTCGATTCATATCGCCTAAATTTATTCTTCCCAGCAATTCCCATGGAGGTGTAAAACGCACGATCATTCCAGAAAGCACGAACAGCTTTTCCCATACGACATCGCACATCATCATGATCCTTGAAATTCCTCGCAATCATAGTCCCGAACACAATAATCTCATCCACCTGCGGAATGGTAATACTCTCAGGGAGAGACACATTGGGCCCCCTGGACATACCTGGCGGGAACAACGTCACCATGAGAGGCTCCGTCACACCGGTGGTAGTTCCCACATCCATGAACTCAAGACTGCTCTGCTTCAAACGAAAGCCATGATCGTGGAGAGCCCACGTCAACTGTAAAATCATATTAGCCAGTGTGGGGCGATCAGGAGCCGTAAGAAGCACGTTGTCCGCCCATATGAAGTGACTCACAACAATACCTCCCACCTCACTAGAGAGTTCAACACCGACAGCATCTCTCGCCCAAGCAGAAGTAATATCACCAAACATGACCAATGATTGAGCAGTCCACAGGTCAGGTCCTTCCTTGGAACCTGTCTTCACACACGTTGTCCAAGGGAGCGTATCAGTGCAGACACCCTCAAATTGAAAGACCGCCTCATTACCGACAGAGTTCTCAATAAGACCATACCGAAGCTCCACATCAACACACAAACGCTCAAGCGTAGAAGAAGCAACTTGGACAGTGAGCAAATCAAATGCAGTGGCAACGTCCAAGGAAGCAAAAACAATATTCTCCTCCTTCCCCCACAACCTGGCATGTCTACACATCGCCTTCAATCCCGACGTCACCTCATGTGTCTTACGACCTTGCTGGAAACCATACAAGCACAGAGACGGAGCAACAGCAGGAGCAATAGACACCAAGTGCAAATTGAGTAGAATACACAAGCAGCCCATATACCATGTGTTAACGACAGAATTCACAGCAAGAGTACGACTCTCATCAAACCTCTTTTCCCTTCCGTTCTTCAACATAATAGATGCACGAATGAACTTCCAAGACTCAGGTGCCTCTGCCATTCGCCAGAAGCGTCGCTGGAAGCAGTCTAACACCACACGTAGGGCTTCCCAGGACAAAGAACGTAACATGCGTGCACTGATACCGTCAGCACCTACAGCCTTGCCTTCACGAAGCCTCGAACGAGCACGACAGAGAAAATGCATGGTAATAGGAGAAGGAGTGTGAGTGCTGCACGCACGTGCCTCATCAGCTTGAACCCGAAGCTGCTCCAGAGTCGCCAAGTTCATAGCAAGACGTTCCGACTTAGAGTACTTAGCCCTGACCACCCTCGTCATATCCTCCTTCCACTTACTGCGGTCTTCACACCATTCCCCGTCGATCATCATAGTTAGTAACAGTCTTAGTCTTGACCCCATCCCGATAACGATAAAGAAGTAGACGTTTCTTGAACTGCCTTCGAACACGATTCCAACGACGACGACTATCCTTGAACGTGGCCCCATCGATCTGACCAGATTTCCAGAGTTTGTGAACCCTGTAGTGGGCCTCTTTCACCTGAGCTTCCTCCTGGGTCAACTTCGGGACGAGTGAAGCCGATTTAAAGCCATAACAGCGTTTATCGGCAACAGCCCCCTCCTTCAATCGTGATTCCAGGTCGGCTAGAGAAACAGAACTCCACCTAGTATGCCAAATCACCCTTCCCTCAGACTCCTCCGTGCAGTACTGATTTTTGCGTTTGTTATTTTGGCCGCTCCCCCCTCCAGATTTCCACCCAGCAACCTGTGTTACAGCCATATCAAACTCTCTGTACTGTTTCAACTCCTTACCCTCCTGCACAAACCACGAAGCGAACGATCGACTGCCAGTGGCCTTCGTCCTACCAGAGGACTTTCCCTGCAGCAAACAAGGGAGATCAAAACATATCATCTTGTGGTCACTCCATTCCGTGTCCCGAGAGCCAGGAGGATGCGCATACATAACGTGCAACTTCGAACACATAACATGAGTCTCCCAAGTCACAGGGCACGCAACATAATCAATGACGTGTTTTGCCCTAGCACCTCCACCACACCAGGTAAACTCACGATCCATGAATGTGTTGATCAGCTTCAGACGTAGCTGGGCCATACAGACACACCAGGCACGCGCACATGCACCCTGCAACGCCTTCCTGCCAAAGCCCTCCTCCTCCCTCACAGTGCGCACATTCACACCACCACCAGAGATACGAAGTCGATCGATCTCAACATGAGGCTGCACTTCAACATTGGCGTCGGCACAAACAACGTCACGGATACTGTACTTTTGACGCATGCGCACCACAGCACTCGATAATTCAAGAAGAACGTTCTGGTACAGATGGAACGTGGCCTGGTACCCCTCAGACGTTGTCCCAAAGAAGCCCTGCTGAGGAAGATACACGCTAGCATAGATGAATGCGCCCACTTCTGGCCCACGGAAGGCACAGACCGCAAATCTTCTACCAACAGCGTGCCCCAAGAAACAGGAGTTGAGAGTAGACGAGAATACTACACCTGCTTGGCCCTCCATCGAGCCACTGTCAAGCTTCACCTCAGCCGAGCAGCGATAGTGGAAACCAGCCTCATTCAACGTATCTCGTCTGAGGAACTGGCACTCCTGGAGCCCGACGAGTTGCACTCCAAGCTCACGCAAGTAAGGAAGAGCAGATAGAGCAGTAGCATCACTCATAATTCTGACGTTCCAACTGGCCGCCCTCAGCGGGCGAGTACGTCGTCACACAGAGTCACCATTCAGCAGCGTCTGCCAGGGCCCAGGAAGGATCTTGTCATCGAACTCAATCACCGATTCTGGCCTCAGAGTCCAACCATGCCTGGGGTCCCAAGTACCCAAACAGATCTGCCCACCGGTTTCAGGATAGCCTCAAGCCCAAGACATCACAGGAGACCCATACTGAATACGTACACGATTGTTTTTCTTCAACGGGTTCCTCAAACGAAAGTATGTAGCTGTAAGTTTACTGCCAGCACTCACCTGTCCCTCACGCCAAGGCTCACACTGCACACGACTGCCGATGCACGACTGGGTAGCTGCAAGAAGAGAATCATCTTTCCAAAGAGAACCCGCGCGCGAGGAGATAGCCTTCCAGAACTCCTCCCTGACCTTCCAGACAGCATCCTTACTCGTGCCGTGTACGAAGAAAATACGCAGCCTAAAGACACCGAACGGCTTGCCCTGGTACTCTCTCTTAATGGCCTCACGATCAAAGATCTTCGCATTTACCTCAAACTGCGAGCCAACTTCATCCAAGAGAATCTGGATAACTCTGGTGGCCCTGGCCTCAGACATGATGTTACTCGTACGAGCCTGGACATCTCGAGGGTCTCCCGAAGTCCAGCCCGAGAGCGTCAAGTATCCAGGGACAAATGGGGGTGTGTTCCTAGGGCCTGCATTGCCTCCAAGACTCACCCGAGTAGATACAGAGGCAGCCTCACTGGCCGCACCATCATTCCCTACCGTCGCTAACTGCTTCTGAACCTGAGCATGCACCGCCTCCTGCTGCTGCTGCTGCTGCCTCACCACCTCCTTAAGTTGTTCAAGGTCCGACTTCAAGGGTGCAACCTCCTGCTGGATATCCTTCCTCACCTCCTCCTTATGTTCCGTCAGAGTACATTTGAGCATATCTGCCAAATTCTGGAACTCATTTCGCAATAGACCAATAGTGACAGGTTCTTTGTCATCTGAAGCGCCCTTACCACCCATCCCAGCACGAGCCATCTTGGAAGACCTGGAAGCATCCCCCACCTCGCCCCTCTCACTGATCTGCTTCATAGAGACATCAGCACAAGCGGCAGCAGCAGATGCAAAGGAATGAGCAGGGCCATGATGCATCACAAGTTGTGGTGGGTGGCCAGCAGAAGAAGGGTCTGTCGACATCGAATCTGCGATACGTCCTGCTTTCGAAGCCTCCAACGCCGAGAATAGAGCACGTTCGTCCTGTGTCGTATGTTCAGGGATCTCGTCCCAGCCTTCAAAGTCCCAGTCGTCTTCTGAGATAACAGCCGTGATTACAAATCAACAAGACAACAAAGCAGCCCCAAGAGAATAACTGGAATACCCTGTGCCAGCTAGCCACAAGATATCTGTAATAGGCCTGCCAACAATTCACCAAGCAGAGAAGATGCCAGCCGCCAGGCGCCAGCAGCCGCCGCTATCGCGAGGGTGCCGAGGCCCGAGAGGAGAGAGATGGACGGGCGCGGCCGAGGGCGGGTGGGGCGCGGCGGGGGGGGGGCACCAAGGAGTCCCCAGCGGCACCCAAGGCCCCCGCAAGGAGACCTTGGTTGCCGCTTGAGCCAAAATGGCTACGGAAACCCGTAGAGCTTCCTCGCGCAAGGCGGGCGCGGCGATCTCGCATTCTGCGCGCGCGCGAGGGTGAGGAAGACGAGGAGAAGGAGGAAGAGAAGGAGCAAAAAAAAAGAGAGAAGAAGCAGATGGAGGAGGAAGAGGGGAAGGGAAAAGACGAGAAGGAAGAGGACGAGGAACAGAACTAGAACTACGTTGACTTCTTTGTTCCAGCTCTGGTTGCGCCACACGGTCGGCACCGTAAAAACTGCGCGTTCAAGGCTGGCGCCGCGCAAAGGGGGCGCCGAACGGCGACGCGCACGGTCGCGCGCGCCGAAGGCACTCTGGAAGTGCCTTCGAGGCGGCGCAGGGGCGACCAAAAAATGGAGGCGTTTGCGTGTCCACGCATTTTCTTCTGCGGAGTTGGGCGCCCTGGCCACACGGTCGGCGCCGCAAAAACTGCGTGTTCAAGGCTGGCGCCGCGCAGAGAAGGCGCCGAACGGCGCCGCGCACGGTCGCGCGCGCCGAAAGCACTCTGGAAGCGCCTGCGGGGCGGCGCAGGGGTGACCAAAGAATTGAAATATTTGCGTGCCAGCGCATTTTCTTTTGCGGAGTTGGGCGCCCTGGCGCAGACGGCCGAACGACCCCTGCAGCGGGGCGCCCTGGCCACACGGTCGGCGCCACCAAAACTGCGCGTTCAAGGCTGGCGCCGCGCAAAGGAGGCGCCGCACGGCGCCGCGCGCGGTCGCGCGCGCCGAAGGCACTGGAAGCGCCCACGAGGCGGCGCAGGGGTGACCAAAAAATTGGAACTGTTGCGTGCCAGCGCAATTTCTTTTGCGGAGTTGGGCGCCCTGGCGCGGACGGCCGAACGACCCCTGCAGCGGGACACCCTGGCCACGCGGTCGGCGCCGCAAAAACACCGCGTTCAAGGCTGGCGCTGCGCAAAGGCGGCGCCGAACGGCGCCGCGCACGGTCGCGCGCGCCGAGGGCACTCTGGCAGCGCCTTCGGGACGGCGCAGGGGTGATCAAAAAATGGGGGCGTTTGCGTGCCAGCGCATTTTCCTTTGCGGAGTTGGGCGCCCTGGCGCGGACGGCCGGACGACCCTGCAGCGGGGCGCCCAGGCCACGCGGTCGCCGCCGCAAAAACTGCGAGTTCAAGGCTGGCGCCGCGCAGAGGAGGCGCCGAACGGCAACGCGGACGGTCGGGCGCGTCGAAGGCGCTCTGGAAATGCCTGCGGGGCGGCGCAAGGGTGACCAAAAAGTGAACGTGTTTGCGTGCCAGCACATTTTCTTTCGCGGAGTTGGGCGCCCTGACACGGACGGCCGAGAGACACCTGCAGCGGGGCAACCTGGCCACGCGGTCGGCGCCGCAAAAACTGCGCGTTCAACGCTGGCGCCGCGCAAAGGGGGCGCCGAACGGCGACGCGCACGGTCGCGCGCGCCGAAGGCACTCTGGAAGTGCCTTCGGGGCGGCGCAGGGGTGACCAAAAAATGGAAGTGTTTGCGGGCCAGGGCATCTCCCCTTGCGGAGTCGGGCGCCCTGGCGCGGACGGCCGAACAACCCCTGCAGCAAGACGCCCTGGCAACGCGGTCGCCGCCGCAAAGACTGCACGTTCAACGCTGGCGCCGCGCAAAGGAGGTGCCGAACGGCGCCGAGCACGGTCGCGCGCGCCGAAGGCACTCTGGAAGTGCCTTCGGGGTGCGCAGGGGACCGAAGAATGAAGCTGTTTGCGTGCCAGTGCAAGTGTTTTTTGCGGAGTTGGGCGCCCTGACGCGACCGGCACTGGCGCTGGCGGTAAACCGTCAACCTGGCTACCGCCGGGAACCTCGTAGAGCTCCTTCCTCGCTCGATAATGCCCGAGACAGGAACAGAGAGCTTCTACAAGGATGTCTGAAAAAATAGAGAAAAAATCATGTCGACATGAAGTTGGTTCCGCCAAGTGTTTTGATAGTTATAGTGCGCCTACAGAGTTCATACTAAGACGCAGAGACCCTCATAGTCTGTTACAGGTGCGAAAAATCTCGTTTCTCAAAGCGAATGGTCACATATCTTTCCAATCTTAGCAAAACCGACCCAAAGTCACCACATTGTCCCTTCTGGTCGGGTCGGCCAACTAGCTCCACCCCGCGCCGGAATTCCTCTAGCTCATCGATAACGAAGAGCTCTACGAGGTACTGGAAGCCGGCGGTAAACCGTCAACCAGGTTACCGCCGGGAGCCTCGTAGAGCTCTTTCCTCGCGCATCGCTGCTCGGAGCACATGGGAAAAGCTCCCTCAAGCGGTAGCTGGAGAGCTCGATAAGAAATGATTTTTGTTGGTGTTCATCCAAAGTCGGTTCCTCAAGTGTTTTGATAGTAGTACTGCAGCTACGGACCAGAGAATTTCACTGGCAGACGCAACCCACTAGAGGTCCGAGACATACCGGTTCTTCAAACGAATATTTAAATATCTCACAACGATCGCCCAAGCGGCCCAAAGTTCACACATTGTCCGTCGGGGCCAGGTCGGCCAACTAGCTGCACCCCGCACCGGAATTCCTCTAGCTCATCGATGCCGAAGAGCTCTACGAGGTTTCCTCTAGCTCATCGACTGGGACCCGGCGGTAAACCGTCAACCAGGTTACCGCCGAAGCCTCGTAGAGCTCTTTTCTCGCGTGGCGGTGCTCGGAACATGCAGGAAGCTGTCTCGAGCGTGAGCTGAAAAAACTCGAAAACACGTTTTTCGGTTTTCACCAGAGTCGGTTGCTTCAAGTGTTTTGATAGTAATACTGCAGTTACGGACCTGAGAGTTTAAATGACAAGCGAGGCATAACCCGCTAGAGGTGCGAAAAATACTTGTTCTCAAAACGAATTTTCAAATCTCTCGCAATGTTCGTCCAACCGACCCAGAGTTGCCACATTGTCCACCCGAGCCGGGTTGGCCAACTGGCGCCGGCGGTGAACCGTCAACCTGATCTTTTGCGGTCTTTGCGGTCGACTGCGCGGGCCGCCAGGCCCAGTCGCAAGCAAGAAACGGGCAACATACAGGTGAGCCAAACCGCCCACCACAGCGAGTGCGGCAGGCAGGGAGCAAAGCTCTTATAAAGAACAAGTGACCGTCAAGCGAAGCTCTTATTCGACACACGTGCATGCATGAACACACAAGTATAAAGAAAACAACGCAATCACAAGTCACAACAGTTCAAACTCAAAGTATGTGTGAACAACCCGTGGGAGAACATCAATGATATGTTCGATCGCCGACAACTCGGCATCAGTAACTGAAGCATTGTTGCCGATAGAGAAAGCAGCACTATACACCTCCGTCCACACAATATCTCTGGAGCTCGGCTTACGACAAGTCCGCGAGACCCGACCGACATCAATCCAGCAACCGACTCCGACACCCGCCGTCGACACACCGCCATCGAAGCCACAGTCGATGGCACAATACCTGTAAAGACTCGAGAACTCATTGGGCTCCTGCCCGATACGATCCTGAAATATGTCGATGCCCTCACGGGCAGTATGAGTGAGCACGTCCGCCCTTGTATTCCATTCCCTGAAGCAGTGTTCGATCAGATCTCGTCCAGGAGCAAATGGGCGAATATGAAACATAAAAGACATACCATCCAGACAGCTAATCATCCTGTCAACTCTTCTCTGAAAATCTTTGTTGCTGACTTTCCAGTACCCCTGGCACCATGATACAACCAAAAGACTATCTCCATGGATACTTATGGGGACCCCGGAGGCCTCAAGATCCCACTCGGCATTTTCCCATTTGGACGTGTGTACAGCAAGTCGTTTAGCAAGACGATCATTGGCAAGTTGTGATCCCTCCTCAACTCCATACTCCTGAAGTTCCTGCTGCGTTTGGATATAGACCTCACCAGCAACCCGAGGATGACTGAGAGCTTTAGCACGGATCTGGAAACAATCAAGCATATCCCGTGAACACACGCGTGCGGCGAACTGCTCAAAGGTCCCAGGCGTAGCACGGAATCCTTCCCACCACTTGGGGCCGAAGAACTCCGAAAACGTGTGGGTCCAATGTCGTTGTCCGATAGCCAAGCCCCCTCCCCGTTGGCGTTTCATCTGACTGGATTCCCGAAAGCAGAAATTCATGCGCAGGAACTCCGAGGCATCCGTACGTATACGATCCCCCCGCACACCATCTGCACACAAGCACGCACGTACATCACGCCAAGTTCGATCAGCACCCCTCCATTCATCATATGTATCCACATCGAGCACATGGATAAACTCGCACATGTCTTTGGCCAAGGTCCAGGAAACACGACGAAACCTCTGCGCCAAGGAAGCGAAACCCAACTCCTTAAATTTCCTCCTAGCCTCCGCGTACCTCCTCCGATTCCAAGTGGAAACATCCTCCTCAGGTCCCCTGGGACAAGTGAACATTTTGCAAAGACAGAGCCCCTCGAAGGAGTGCATACGCTGCAGAGAATGGTTGTCGAGCGTCATACCCTCAATACCGTACATGGCAATCCCCTGTACCTTCTCCTGATAGCTCCAGAATTTATCACGAAAACTCACAGCAGAAAATCGGAAATAGTTGGACATGCCGAAGAAGCTCTTACGTGCCATGGACAGACGATAATCAAAATCGGGATGAGTAGGAGTATTGAACTCAGAATGGATCTCGGCCCCGAGCACATTCATCGATGAAACTCTTCTGAAGCGCAAGACCTCAGGCGTGGCTACAATGAGATCCTCCTCAGGTACGATGACGCCATCCGCATTACAGCGAGGTGCAAGGCCACATGTCATGAAGAGAAGCGATGACGCCTTCCACGCCATGCCGAAAGAATCAAGTGGTAGAGTTAGATCGTGCATAATGCTCCTGAGGTCTGCAGACGAGCCGGCTACAAGATAGACATTGTCAGCCCAGAGGAAGTGGCTGATGATGAGCTCCTTACGCCTGGACCCGTAGAGTCCTTCGACACGGTAGACCATTCCCTTCACATCCCACGATCTGAAGACCTCGTAGAACTCCTCCGCCGGGAACCTGGTCTTTTTGCTGTCTTTGCGATCGACTATGCGGGCCGTCAGGCCCAGTCGCTAGCAGGAAGCAGGGCGGCATTCAGTCAGAAATGTGGCGACGAAGCAAAGAGAATAGAGGAAGGAACAAGTACAATTGTCACACAATGAATTCAATGTGCTACCCGCACTCGAAAGAGATCACTATGCAATCCACTCAAGGCAGATCTGGAAGAAACGAGACTTACGAGCACCACTCTAGGCAGTGAGGAACAAGTCCGCGTATACAGATTGCCACCACCAAACCGCAACGAGAAATGAGTATGAGAGGCAGACAATGACAAGCAAGATGTATTACGAGCACCACTCTAGGCAGTGGGGAACAAGTCCGCGTATACAAATTGCCACCACCAAACCGCAACGAGAAATGAGTATGAGAGGCAGACAATTACAAGCAATATGTATTACGAGCACCACTCTAGGCAGTGAGGAACAAGTCCGCGTATACAAATTGCCACCACCAAACCGCAACGAGAAATGAATATGAGAGGCAAACAATGACAAGCAAGATGTACAGGGAGATGGGCAGTTGCGTAAGCAGAGCAAAACAACACGCTAGCTCAACGTTCACCTTCGCGGAGGTTCCCCAGGCAGGAGAAAATGAACGTTCGCGGAGCCTTGAGCCTTGTAGAGCTTGAGCCGGGTCCCTCGTAGAGCTCCTCGCGCGCGTAAGAGTGCTCAGAGTCGAAGCAGAGAATTTCGCTGAAGATTTGCGTGAAATCTTCAAATTTGCGTTTTCATGTCGACATGAAGTTGGTTTTCCCAAGTGTTTTGATAGTAGAAGTGCGCCTACGGAGCTCATATTAAGACGCAGAGGCCCTCATAGCCTTTCACAGGTGCGAAAAATATGGTTTCTCAAAATGAATGGTCAAATATCTTTCAAAAATGAGCAAAACCGACCCAATGTCGTCACATTATCCGCCCGGGCCGGGTGGGCCAACTGGGAGCCGGCGGTAAACCGTCAACCAGGTTACCGCTGGGACCCTCGTAGAGCTCTGGAGAGACCAAACCCCAAATAAGAGGACAAAAAAACGCTTGCGACTATGAGCTTCAAAACTGAAGGAATATTTTTGTTTCGGGTTTTACACAACATCAGTTCCTCCTAGTCTTTTGATCGAAATAATGCAGCTAGAGTCCTGAGAATTCCACCATCGAATGCGCAATGATCGACTGCTGAGAATAAGAATTGTCGATTCCAAAAACGAATTTCAAAATCACTCGGACTCTTCGAAAAACCGGCCCCAGGTCATCACACTGGGCGCCGGCGGTAAACCGTCAACCTTGGTTTTTTGCGGTCTTTGCGATCGACTGCGCGGGCCGCCAGGCCCAGTCGCTAGCAGGAAAAAGGGCGGCATACAGAGTCAGGCAAGACACCCACCACTCTTGGAGCGGAAGTGGGCACATGCGAAACTCTTATTCCGAACAAAATGAAAAGCACGCGGAGCTCTTATACCAACATGCGCGCATGCCCGACACACACACACAGCATGGCAAGAGTCAATGCAAACACAAAGTCCGAAGTATGTCGAAACCTCAGAGACACATCGATGATGCGACAACCGACCGTGTTACGATATTTCCATCAAAGAAACAACATGCACAAACCAAAGAATGCAAGAGAATGGTGATGCTGATCGGACCCATCTCAGATGGCAGGCCCGAGCACGACGCATACGCCTGGATGTGAGGCTCCGCACGTGAGGCATCAGCCACAATCAAAGTCCAATTCAGTCAGAAATGTGGCGACGAAGCAAAGAGAATAGAGGAAGGAACAAGTACAATTGTCACACAATGAATTCAATGTGCTACCCGCACTCGAAAGAGATCTATATGCAATCCACTCAAAGCAGATCTGGAAGAAACGAGACTTACGAGCACCACTCTAGGCAGTGAGGAACAAGTCCGCGTATACAAATTGCCACCACCAAACCGCAACGAGAAATGAGTATGAGAGGCAGACAATGACAAGCAGGATGTATTGAGAGCACCACTCTAGGCAGTGAGGAACAAGTCCGCGTATACAAATTGCCACCACCGAACCGCAACGAGAAATGAATATGTGAGGCAAACACTGACAAGCAAGATGTACAGGGAGATGGGCAGTTGCGTAAGCAGAACAAAACAACACGCTAGCTCAACGTTCACCTTCGCGGAGGTTCCCCAGGCATGAGAAAAATGAACGTTCGCGGAGCCTTGAGCCTTGAGAGCTTGAGCCAAAATGGCTTGAGCCGGGAGAGCTTCCTTGCCATCAAAGAATTAGCAGAGTACGAATAGTTGTTCAGTCCCAGCACTGATAGAAGACAACTTTCAGGCGTCTAGATACTTTGAAATAGCGCGCCTGATGATGTCCTTTCGATTGGGATGCCTAAGAGCTCTGAAGACCATCTGCAACTCGAGTTAAATGAAGAAACTCATGATCATCTCGAAAAAATCTGTAGAGTACGAATACCTCCGCGGACCTAGCTCGAGTAGCAGACCGAGTTTAGACCTCTAGATGCTTCAGACGAACGCGCCTGACGATTCTGAATCGATTACGTGTGCGCACCAGCTCTGTAGCTCTCCTACAGCTCGAGTTAAGTCAATAAAACCAATGCGATCTCGAAAGAAAATCGCAGAGTATGAATAATTATTCGGCTTCTGCGCTGATGGCAGCTAGATACTTCAGACTAGCTCGCCCGATGACTTACTTGCAATTGATGCGCCAAAGAGCTCTCTAGCTCATCTGGAGCTCGAGTTAAGTAAAGAAACTTATCATTATCTCGAGAAAAATCAGTAGAATACGAAAAGTTGTGCGAGCCTAGCTCGAATAGAAGACCGAGTTCAAACGAACGCGTCTGATCATTCTGAATCGATTGGGTGTGCGTACCAGCTCTGCAGCTCTCCTACAGCTCGAGTTAAGCACGGAAAACCGACAGTACCTGTTAAGATGACTCGAAACAGCCGATACCGCCCGGATGCTTTTTGGCAGTAATAGGTACCCGATCGAGCTGAGATTGAGACAGCGAGTGGGAAGAAGATCGAACATCACGGGAAGAATACTTGAGCTCTACAGAATGGTTGAAGTTCGAGAACATAATCTTCAACCGAGCACAAATCATCAAAAGGTCCGTCGAGATTTTTCTTGCCAACTAGCCCTCCAGCGCGCTGGAATTACTCTTAAGCTTCCCGCAACTAGCTAAGGGAAGCTCTACGAGTTATTGTCCGCCGGGCCGGGTTGGCCAATGGGAGCCGGCGGTAACCGCCGGGAACTCGTGGAGCTTCCTCGTGCAATGCGGGCGCGGCAGTCTCGCATTGCGCGCGCGAGGGCGCGGTCTCATGGGGAAAGACGTGAAGGAGAAGAAGGAGCAAGGGAAAAGCATCGCTGGACAAAAAAAATAGACATCAAGAAAGACATCACCGTCTCTAAAAAATTAGCAGAGTAAGAATAGTTTGTTCAACTCCAGCGCTGATAGCAGACCGAGTTCAGGCGTCCAGATACTTAAAACTAGCGCGTCTGATGGTTGCCTTCCGATTGCCGTGCCAAACAGCTCTATAGCTTATCTGCAGCTCGAGTTAAGTCCAGAAAACCAATACCATCTTCATAAGAATGACTCGTAGAGCTTCCCTAAGAGCGTTAGCGGCGAAGCCAGAAGAGTAATTCCGGCGCGCTGGGGGGCTAGTTGGCAAGAAAATATCGACGGAAGTTTTGGGAATTCTCGACCTGTTGAAATTTGATTTCTCGAAATTCAACCATTCGTTAGAGCTCTAGTATTTTTCCCCCATATTCGATACTATTCCCGCTCGCCATCTTAATCTCAGCTCGATCGGGTAACTATTACTGCCAAAAAGCATGTGGGCGGGACCGGCTGTTCGGGTCATCTTGAGAGATGCTGTCGGTTTTCTGTACTTAACTCGAGCTGTAGAAGCGCTACAGAGCTGGAATGCACACCTACTCGATCCAGAATGATCAGGCGCGTTCGTCTCTACCATCTAGAGGTCGGAACTCTGTCTGCTACTCGAGCTATGTCCGCGAAACTATTCGTACTCTATCATTTTTTTCGAGATGATGATGATTTTCTCGGCTTACCTCGCAGATGAGATACAGAGCTGCTTGGCACAGAAATCGGAAGGGAATCATCAGGCGCGCAAGTTGAAAGTATGTAGACGCCCGATCTCGGCCTGCTATCAGCGCTGGCACTGCAAAAGTATTCGTGCTCTGCTATGTCTTCCGAAATGATGATGCTTTTATCGACTTAATTCGAGTTGGAGATGGACTACAGAGTTGTTCGGCGCAGCAGTGTGAAGAAAACCATCAGGCGCGATAGCCTGCAGTATCTAGACGCCTGATCTCGGTCTGCTAGCAGCACTGGGAGTGAATTACTCCGACGGAAGAACCCCGCATAAGAATCCTCTGGGCAAATCTGGAAAAAGCCATCACCGTCGTCCTCGTGGTTGGTGAGGCGTCCTGGCTGTCTCTTCTGCGTATATTTCCTCTCGCCTTGGCGCGGGCCCCCCTTCCACTCCTTACGTTGTCCCCATCCTCGCCCCCCTGTTTGTTCCGCGCCCCGCCACCTCCTCCCCTTCCTGTTGCATGAGCGCGCATGTCGATGTTCCTCGGCGCCGTCGCCGCCACGGCCAGCACAGGCGCGTTCTCTACTGGTCACGTCGCGCAGCCGTTGGGACAACCCCGCGGGCCAGGCTGTCGGGACAACCCCGCGAGCCGTTGGCGCGCAAGACCAAGCCGTTGGGACAACCCCGCGGGCTTCGAGCGAGGCGCAGCCGCGCTCAGGCGGAAGGCAGCACGAAGCCCAGCTCTGCCGCGAGCTGCTTCGCCTCCGCCCTGGACAAAACCGCTCTCTTGTCGAACTCCAGGAGCGCCTTCCGCAGGGACGCCGGCGGCCCGCACTCCAGGAACTCTCGCGGCGGCGGCCGCAGGATCAGCATGTTCCGCATGCACGTGGCGCGGGAGAACATGACGTAGAGGTGCAGCCACCACTGCTCGTCCGACATGCCCGTGCGGCCAGCGTCCTCGTCTCTCGCGCAGTCGATGGTGACGCCCTTGCGCAGCGTCTGGCCCTGCGACAGCGTGGAGGTCAGGTAGGGCGCGTGCGTCAGGGTGAACCCCGAGCGGCGCACGCTGTGCGCCCCCGAGCTCTGCCATGTGAACTCCCTTTCGCTGGGCCTGAACATCAGCAAGCTCCGCGCCCGCGCCTCGGCCTGGCCGTCGTCGTCGGCGCCTTCGGCGCCCTGTCGCAGCACCTCGGCGACCTGAGGAGCCCAAAAACTTCCTTGTTGCGTCCAAAATGTGGCCTGGGAACTGCGTTCTGGCAGCGCGAGAACCCAAAATTGACGACAGTTACAGGTTTTGGATGACCCGCTCGGATTACCAACATGATCTGCGGGCCCCATAGGGAGGGGGCTCCCGCCTGAGACTTCCTCGCAGTTCACTCACAGACGAGGCTCCCGCCTGAGACTTCCTCCATATTCAGGCTTGAGGAGCCCAAAAGTGACGACAGTTACAGGGTTCCGATGACCCGCTCGGATTACCAACATGATCTGCGGGCCCCATAGGGAGGGGGCTCCCGCCTGAGACTTCCTCACAATTCACTCAGAGACGAGGCTCCCGCCTGAGACTTCCTCCAAATTCAGGCTTGACGAGCCCAAAAGTGACGACAGTTACAGGGTTCCGATGACCCGCTCGGATTACCAACATGATCTGCGGGCCCCATAGGGAGGGGGCTCCCGCCTGAGCCTTCCTCCGAATTCACTCACAGACGAGGCTCCCGCCTGAGACTTCCTCCAAATTCAGGCTTGAGGAGCCCAGAATTGACGACAGTTACAGGGTTCCGATGACC